CCATCCATCCATCCCATCCATCCATCCCATCCATCCATCCATCCATCCATGTATCCATCCAACAATCAATCAAACCATCGACCCAGCTCACTTACGCATACTACTACCCAACCTCTCCCTCCACCAGCCAGCCATCCAGTCAGCCAGCCAATCCATCAATGAACCTGGTCATTTATTTATTCATTTATTGATACAATTTCTAATTCCTGGTTTTCATATAAAAACATCAAAACTATAATCACCTTGTAATTTGTCGAGAGTTGAATGCTTCCGACATTCCCTTCATTCACCTTCATCCCATCAACAAACAACTGCTGTTTTCCAGTGCTATAATCGTATGTATAACCAACATATCTCCAGTTGTTTATAGTACCCATTTCATGAGTCAAAGCATTAACGAATGCAAGACTTCCTCTTTTAACCATCCTTACGAAGAGCATTGATGGACTTCCGGTTATGTAAAAATGAATTGCATATGAACCTGACTGAATATCGTAGTGAAAAACTGGGCCTAAAGAACCCTGGTTGTAGATCCAAACTAGAAAACTGAAAGAAAATCTGAAACAAAAAGTAAGTACTTGATTAATTTGGATTGGTAATTCATAATTAGTATATGTAATAGGACTCCATGCTGTCCAATTAAGAAATAATTGGACGAGGAAAATTCCGAGGGCTTCCAAAATTGGATGAGGCCGTAGGCCGAGTCCAATTTAGCAGTCAGAGGAATTTTTCGAGTCTAATTATTTCTTAATTGGGGAGCATGAAATCCCATTACCTATTAATTATATAGCTGCCTAATTAATCCCATACCAACAAGACCTTTCCAATTAAGAAAATAATTGGACAGTTACCTATATACGATTAATGAAAAGCTGTATAACAATAATAGTTATCTATATTATGGGTTAATTCTAGAATTCATTTCAATTTATTTTCAATTTATCAATTTCTTTTTTGATTGTCTACTGCACAGCCAACTACCGATATTTTTTAATATCAAGCGAATGCAGAAAATAAAGATTATTCTAATTATCGTCATTATCACCATCATTATCACTACTATAATCATTATCATTTATATCATTAATATTATCTTCATCATCATCATCATCATTATCAATAATAATAATAATAATAACAATAATAATAATAATTTTTCCAAATGCTCTTGAGAGCAGAAACCGAGCAACAATTATGTATAATGAGTCTTTTAATGCTAGACATGTTTCGGCAGTCCAGCTGCCATCATCAGTAGTAGATAATAGGGACCTTAGGCTGCAGGACGGCAACGACGACTACCACGGCAAGCATACAATAGCACTAATTGTGCTATTAAATAGACACTCGTTGGAATGTACGAAATACTATGCATCATTGCCGTCTTATGCTGAAAGTAAGACGTGGAATGTCCTATTTTTACGTACTAAAGAGAACGGCTACGCCAAAAGCTTATCTTTGCTGATTTTCGTTTTAAGTGAAGGGATCCCAAAGACATCATTTTACTATAAACGGGGATGCTTATTGAGTAAAATACTAGGTAAACATGAAATAATAATACAATGGAAGGTTGAAGCGCCTCAATTTCGCCGACGTTGTCGCCCGCGTTGCCGTTCTGCAGCTTAAGGTCCCTAATATAGATCACAAAGCTAACTAGTTATATAGCAAAAAAATATATGAATATGTATATACTTATTTCAATAAAGTTAGTCACGTGAAAAGCTATTAAGCTGAAGCCGACAAGGATTATGGGTAGATACATTTTACATGTTTCAACCGCTTGATAACTGTTGATGGACTTGCTCATCTTATACCAGTTATAGTCTCACCTCTTCTAAGCATCCTCAAGCTGCAGTTTGTATCAAAAAAGCTTCACTTGTTTGATATGAATTGTTTCCCACGATGCTCAGTGATCTCAGCTTTCTAGGTTTTTGGTGACTAACTTTACTGAAATAAGTATATAGTGATTACAATATGTATATGATGCGTAAATGGCAGCTGGACTGCCGAAACATGTCTAGTATTAAAGGACTCATTATGTATCTAAAAATAATAATGATAATAATAATAATAACATCAATATACATCAATAGCCTATATTTGTTTGTTTCTTACTTTATGTAAATATATTTTTCAGTTAGTTTCTTGATAATGATGACAGGATGTCATCGAAACTTCGAAATCTATCTGCGTTAGTTTTTCTGATTAATAATAACATCAACAATTGATTGATTATTTAATCAGTACTACTTCATTAAAAAAATAATAGTTTATAAATATTTCTTTACTTTTATCCTATTGTTATTAAAATTATCCCAATACTCTAACGAAGCCCATGCCTAGGAAGTAACATTACCTAGTATCAAGTTGTGCTTGTTGTGGAATCTCGATGTAACTGCTAGCACTTCCTGGAAAATTGTAAGAGCCCCCTGGTTTACCATCTGGTCCTGGTGCAAGACTAACTCCAACAGCGGTACCGGCTGTCAAATAACTATTACTGATGTCTTTGGTTGTATGCAGTGAGTTCAAAGGGAACAAGCCAACTGGTTCAGGTACATCTTCTAAATCAAAATTATATATACCTATAATATGACACAACACAGCCCAACACACTCTCTACACAGATACCACAACAGTACACAACGTCACACGTAATGTTTTATAAACTCTTCGTGACTTATATTGTGTTTCCTGTATGCATTTTTAAAGAGTTGGGGGAAAACACACTTACAACACAACCTATAGAACACAGCACAAAACAACCACTCACACAAATAACATAACACAACACACATACGACACGACACACATACGACACGACACACATACGACACGACACACAAACGAAAAGAAAAAAACACGACACAACTCACATACGACACGACACAACACAACCCAAAGAACACAGTACAAAACAACCACTCACACAACATAACACAACACAACACACATACGACACAACACACATACAAAAAGACACACACGATACAACACGACACAACAT